ACATACTAAATTTCAGTATGGAGGCAAATCAACTAACCCTCTAAAAAGCATGAAGTTATTTTCCACTATAAAAATACAATGCTTAAAATCTGACAAACTGAAATTTACAATGACATGATTTTTGATAAAAAATACACATTACTTACAGATAAAAGTTATCACAGCTTAAGTTAGTAACTATTTATTGATGAAATTAAAATAAAATATATTGTCCATTTACTCAGCCTATCAATAGCACCATTCCTTCATTGTCTTCTGAACAAAGGAAAATCAAAGCCCTGCACTGGGAATTTCTCCCAAACCCTGTGGCCTAACTCTATAAGCATAATGAAAATGCATAGAACTCACAAGGCAGGATTACTTCTTTCAGTTTTACATTTTACAGTTTTGATATAGTAATTTTTCCTGATATAACTGTACAAGAGGAACATAAAAATTTTTCACCTTGCCTTTTGAAATTCTTAGCTTATATTTGTACCTGTCTTACAAACTGTCTTAAAGCTGATTCCTGTCCAGCACATAAGACTTTATAAATGCGAATTTATAGCAGTGTCAGTGAGAATAGCATGAGATGCTCAAATATATATGGCAAGGGTAACTGGCACAAACTCACATCACACACTATTTTTCAACTAAGATTACAATGACCATATGTTCTAAAATATTCCTTCAAATGAATCTTTGAGTGATGTCCCACAAAATCATATAACAGTTGATGCATCTCCACATTTCTTTTCATATTACACATATTCTCACATTTGTTTTGACAGGAAAACCACAATGATACTAAAAAAGGAAAAAAAATATGGACATCAATGCATAACAGAACTGAAATATATTTCCTATCAGATAAAGATTCCACTTTTACCTTACTTCTGTTACTAGTAACCTAAGCAGAGGCTGGACACGTTTGCACCCTGTGGCAGAGAGTAGTGGCTGTCCGGCTGGAATGAAATTAATTTGCTTCACGACTTCTTCCACAACTGAAGACCGCTTGCTTGCCAAACTATTTTTGTATTTTTCCTCTATATTTTCTTGTATCTTGTCGAGTTCTTGCAAAACGCACTGCCGTACTTGCAATTTCTCTAGGGGCATAAAAGGCACAACCACAAGCCTCCTGAAATCCTCGTACAGGTTCCTAGACGTAACGATATCCTGGGTCACTTCCGTAAAATCTTCGAGTCGGAGATCTTCCCTGTCCTTCCCCTCAACACGAAGCTTCATGTACTTTCTGTTGATTTCCCGGCTTCCCTCCGTGCCTGTTATGATTACAATAATCCTTCCTGTGGGTTTCTCCTTTGAAGGTTTTTTCAACTCCTTGACCAACGTCTGGAGAACATTGATGGAGATGTCACTGTCTTCATCCCAGCCATCAATCATAATCAATCTCGGGCCACAAGAGTCAAGCTTTTTTAATAAACTGGAGACGTGTTTTTGCAGATTATTTGAATTCAGCATCAAAATTGATGGTATGAAAGTGCGTACCTGGGAGGGGTCTGGGAACAGGTTCTTTATAATGTTTATAGTGTGTGTTTTGCCACTTCCAGACCAACCAACCATCCACATTATAAGTGGTTCTGAGGAGTCATCATCCTGGAGCTTTTGTAGTGAATCTAAAAGTACTTTGTTGGCAATGTCCTGGCCAATTACATGTGACGTGAGTTCTTCCCTTAATGCATCCAGTGGTATTTTCAAACCCTGTCTTTGTTCACACACCGACTTCTGGTGAAGGATGAAAGTAGATAAGCTTAACATTCCTAAAACAACTAAAAATGCAATAATGGAGCACCAAAAGAAAAGTTTACCAATTCTCATTAGTAATGAGCATAATAGTGAGGAACTTTTAGGAGTTGGGGGCTTGCTAACATCTGATTTCTCCCCAACAGGCACAGCATTTCTCCTTCTTAGACAACTTTCAACCCTAGAAACTGGAGCCATTAAGTCAAATCTGTCCCTATGTTCATAAACCCCACTATAATTGTTCCTATCTTCAAAAGAACCACTGTGATTATCTCTATGCTCATAAGAACCATTGTAATTATCTCTCTGCTCATAAGAACCATTATAGTTATCTCTCTGCTCATAAGAACCGTTATAGTTATCTCTCTGCTCAAAAGTACCATTATAACTATTGCCGAAGTAATTATCTTCAACATTTTCTAACTCAGAAAAAAGAGAAAGGCTAATATTGTGGTTCCTTTTTTCCGTTACACATTTTTCCAAGGAGATATGCTCATCCTCCGGCACAGCAGCGAATCTCTGATCACCATAAAACGTGCCAATGGTTCTCCTTCTGTACAGTGTTCTGGTGTCTTCTGAAGATGCTCTCTCGGTGCGTTCGGGACGAGTGAAAATCGCCGTGAGGCTGCGTCCGGGCGACTTTGGTTTCCGCCGGGCTGAATAGGGGGAAGACGACAAACACCATTCCTCCGGCTGCTCTGAGTGGGACCTGGTGAGCTTCGCCCTCCTGGTGCCTCTTGGGGTGCAAGGCTCCTCCATCTCCTGTGAAAAATGAGCACAAATAATAATTCGCAGAAAAATAAAAGAATCCTGACTTTGGTTGCTCACTCTTGTGTTTACACATGGATGGCTTAGTGCCTTAGTCACCAAGTCAGTTACTAATTCTACCCATCTAACTTGTTTTCTTGGATTTTTGGAAATATTGCTAGTATTATTGTATTACTATTATTAGTGTTCAGGCACTCACTGCCAGGTGTAGGACTCCCTCAACCTCACACTAAAATATTATGAAACTAACAAATATATCAACAAAAAGTCTTTCTGTATATTTATAACTGAAATTTAAATATTTTCATTAAAACAAGACAAAAACAGAAGTTACATGCTGTACAATTGTGTAGGATTCATTAGTGCTATGTGTGGTATCAAAGTGCTGCAATTCAGCCCAGATCCAGTCACCGTCAGCCCCATGTTCTGTTTAAACTGAATGAGTGCGGTGTCACGTGTTGGTGGTGGTTAAGGTGCCTTAGCTGTTTAGAATACCATGAATTTAGTTATCCTCTGATAAACAATGACAATGGAAAGTAGAGTGAACTCTGCGAAATATTTACAAAGTATCAACATTTTGCAATTAGCAATAAGTGTTTTTAACTAATCATCTCTCTTCTTGATTATTTTTCTTTCAGTGATTCCTTTTAATTACCATCACTGTTGCATGAAGCCTGTAGCGATATAGTTCCTCCATTCCACTTTTCCATGACTCCCCACTGTTGTTGTTAATAACATTATGATAATCATTCTGTCAATAATGATAACAATAATCTCAATCTCAATAGCATGGTGCTGTAAAAGTGAAAATGTTGCCTGTAGATATAGTATAGCCCTCAAAGAAGACCGTCTACAAGGCAAAACTGGATAACACCACAGAAATTTTGCCCATTCATAAGTTTGACTGTAATGTACTTTTACGTAAATAAGACTTGAAGTACCCAGAAAAGTTCCCTAACCCTAGTTATAGAACTCAGATATCATAACCTCAGGTTCAGGACATCACACCTAAATAGTGTTTGAATGAAAATATTCAAGGCATAATTATTGGATTTAGACAAAGTAAAGCAAGTATAGAGATATTCCACATTAGACATAGCATGATCAAATGATACACACTCAGCTTCAAACACTAAACTTTGTAGGCAATAATGGGCACATTCACGCAAATTAATACCACCCCCTTCATGCCCAAAAATGAAAGGAGGAGAGGGAGAAGGGGGATAGACAAAAGGTGATAGGGTTAGGGAGAAGATCTAAGAGAGAATAGGAAAAAGAAGAGAGGGGTAGGGTGAGGGCTAGAAAGATAGAGAAGGAGAAGGGGACAGAGAGGGAGAGGAAGCATGAATGAGTTATGAAGGAAGAAAAAACAAGTGAGGGAGGGAGGGAGCAATGAGGAGGAAATGAATGTAGGAAGAAGTAAAGAAGGAGGGAGAAGGAAGGAGTGAGGGAGTGAGTGAGAGGGAAGGAGTTGAGGGAGTGAAGAAGAAGGCAGGGATAAGGGAGTGAGGAAGAAAGAATAAATGAGAGACAGAGGAGACAGAGGAGACAGAGGGAGGGAGGGAGGGAGGGAGGGAGAGAGAGAGAGAGAGAGAGAGAGAGAGAGAGAGAGAGAGAGAGAGAGAGAGAGAGAGAGAGAGAGAGAGAGAGAGAGGGAGAGAAAGAGGGAGAGAAAGAGGGAGAGGAGAGGGAGAGAGAGAGGGAGAGAGAGAGAGGGAGAGAGAGAGAGAGGGAGAGAGAGAGAGGGAGAGAGAGAGAAAGAGAGAAAGAGAGAAAGAGAGATTGAGATTCTGTGTTCATCTTTTCTCTATGCTATTTCAACCAAGGAGGAAGATGTGACAGAATAGTTCCCATAAAAGTTGAGACTTAACATAATACAGCTTCCAAATATAAGAAAACTTAGAATAAATATGTTTCAATATCATGAAGTTCCCATTCATTGAATTTATTGGAAAATGTGTTTTTCTTTCCAATACTATTAATATTGACATTGTTATCATACTTAATGTTATGATTATTAACCCATTCGCCATACCCACTTTGATACATGTTTATTTATTGTATTTACACCTAGATGGCTCTACAAGTTCTTAATCACCAAATAGCCAGTTATCAAGAACTACCTATTTCACCTGTTTAGCCTTTTCTTTCACTTTCGGAAAGGGTTTTTTGTATCATCTTATTGTCAAAAATATTCTAATGACAATTCAATCATCATAACATCAGTAACAATAATAACAGCATCGAAAGCAATTATATTAATTTTCCCGCCAATTCAATGAATGGGAAAATCAGGGTCGGTAACTAGGGCCTACTGATAGACTCCTTGCCGGCTGAGTACATGTGGAGCCATCTGTAGGTAGCAAAATTCACCAAAACCAACAGGGGACAGAACATAAATCCGTGGCGAATGGGTTAAATTGTTATCAAAATATTAATAACATCAAAGACAATAAAACAATAGAAATTAATCTTTCAAAAAATTAAGGAAAAGAGTAAACAGGTGAGACAGGTAAGACTAATAGCTGACTCCTTGGTGACTAAGCACTTTTATAACCATCTATGGGTAAAGACAATAGATAAATCTTTATTACAATGGGCATGGCACTGTAGTCCTGCCACCCGCTCTAACTGGGTTAAGGATAACACCACGACTTGGGTTTGAGAAGTTAATACCTAAGATCTATAAATCTAAGTATGAAAAGTTCAGCCTTCCTCAACATTTCCACGTGAAACGGCCGCTGAATCTACAGAAATTAGGACTGTTTGTGGCAAGAAGAAAAATACAACTTGACTGCCACATCAAGCATCAGAGTTGGTCCTAAATTGAAGTGTACGTAGGGGACACTTCTGCAAAGGAACAGGCCTACTATAAGCCACAGGTGATACAGCGAGGAGAACTTCGCTACTAAGTTAGTTTAGACATACAAGTGTTACAGTGCCCGTAATGAAAAAAAAAACTAATTAAACCTTTTGCATTCTCAAGCTTTTCTTGCAAGGTCCCTGCTAGAGTCTGCCCCCACACCCCCTTTCCCTTTGCCAGAGTGCCAAAGGTGTGGATTACCAAGATTAATTTAGGCTTCACCGTCTATGTCAATCACGGGAAGAGGAAAGGTTTTGCATCTCTGAAGTGAATTTACTAAACCTACGATATTAGGGAAGTGTAAAAGGCCCTGTACACTATGATCTTTAAAAATCCAACTACTAAAAAGATGATGAAACCAAATGCCACCTCCATGGAGTCTAAATAAAAAATAACAGTGGGTCAGAGAGAAAATCGTAAATTAAATACAAGAAATACGAGAAGCATTGGGACAATATGTGGTACAAGGTAGTGGCAGAGTTGGGTAATAAAACCTACATGAAATGATAGAAAAATACAAAACCAAGACAAAAGTTCTTCTATGGCAGTATATGTGCAAATGCTTCCCAAGGCTGCAATACGTAAAAAGAAAAGAGAAAATCCCCAATTTTGGCTAAGTCGCTCATCTCGTTTACATTGCGAGGGTGAATTCTAGACACACATACTACCACGGGGGTCCAGGGCACGTAGCCACCTGACTTGACATGTATATTACCACGGGGGTCCAGGGCTAGGGAATATATACCACGGTGTTAAGTTAGGTTGGGTGTTGGGTTAGGACGTTTTGTTTAACACCCACGGGGGTCCTGTTTTACCCCATGATTTCCCTGATATACCTCATGCCCTCCCCTGCTCATGCCCTCCCCTGCTCATGCCCTCCCCTGCTCATGCCCTCCCCTGCTCATGCCCTCCCCTGCTCATGCCCTCCCCTGCTCATGCCCATCCCTGCTCATGCCCTCCCCTGCTCATGCCCTCCCCTGCTCATGCCCTCCCCTGCTCATGCCCTCCCCTGCTCATGCCCTCCCCTGCTCATGCCCATCCCTGCTCATGCCCTCCCCTGCTCATGCCCTCCCCTGTTCATGCCCTCCCCTGCTCATGCCCTCCCCTGCTCATGCCCTCCCCTGCTCATGCCCTCCCCTGTTCATGCCCTCCCCTGCTCATGCCCTCCCCTGCTCATGCCCATCCCTGCTCATGCCCTCCCCTGCTCATGCCCATCCCTGCTCAACGATTCATTTGCACAAGGAACAATGCCTAGAATTGTTGAAAGTAACCCACTGCCCTCTTCTACATACTGACCAAAAATTGCATTACTTTCAACACTCCAAAAATTACCACCTGTTTATACGTGGAATTTGCAACACCCACCTATATGCAATGTAAATCAATCAATATCTCATCAAATCAACTTCCATTCTCTACCACAACCCAACAGCAATTAACACAAATGAACCTAAGATCGTAATTAAAAGCAATTAGTCTTATAATCACCAATAATAAGACAAAAAAATTGAATTACTTGTTACGCGCGATGACCTTTCCTCGGCCGCTCTCTGGGGGTGACTGAGGCCTTTAATGTCATTCATTTTATTTTATTCCCTTTTGTTTTTTGTGTATATTCGTATTTGGCTATTTTTTTTATTTATTTATGTGTTGCCTAATGAGTATTATTTTGTGTGTGTTTAGTTCTTGGTGAGAGTGTTTTTTTTTTTTTTTTTTTTTTTTTTATTAGTGAAGGTGGTATTTATGTTTCTTTTATATATTCCTTTTCATTGGTGGAAGTACTAGCATATTAGATAGTATTTTATGCGATACTTATATATGTATTTGTCTTGTACTTTATTCAAATCATTTGAAAAGATAACGCGGCAAAGGAGCATTACTATAAATCCTTGTACTTTATATTTCTTAATTCGTAACTACTCAATAGATTATAAAAACACCAGTACTTATAATAGACGTAAATATAACTACCTACTGTATAAATCAATACCCACTTTACCAACTGAAACATTTATACTCCTCATCCCTATAATTTTGACAGCGGCCGACACACCTTGGAATTTGTTGTCACTTTTTTACTTATTTCATCCCGATTTTCAAAGGTAAATGGCTTATTTTATGTCTCCTTT